AAAAATAGGTGTATATTAATGACCTTTCCTATATTTAAATATAAATTAATATCCTGATTGTAATATTTTGTTTCCAGTGCCTGATCTGTTTGATGACAAGACCAGTTTAAAAGTAATTCCGTCTCCCTGGTTTAAATGGTGGCTGGTTTTGTTGTATCTGTTCAGAGATCCACCAGTCAAGAATTGTCTATGCTGAAGTGCAATTTCACATTTGTGTGTGTGCATGCAGGCAGTATTTATGGTGGGTTTTTTTTTCAACTCTGAGTTGAAATTTTGTTGTGATTTGCCCAGAAGGAGCTCTGAAAAATATTTAGGGGCACATGCAGGTGAGAAAATAATTTGTCTGTCTGTCCAGGCAAGTGTAATCTGGAAGCAGGCAGCAGGCTAATTGTCATTGGTATGGCCTTTAACAGTTGACAGTTTGATACACACTTGATGGATGGCTTTTTCCCCATCATAGTCAGCATTTTTATATGCAGGTGCAGAATTTTAAATTACGATGTTAACTGTGTAGGTGATTTATTGTAAATCTCTTTCTACACGCTTCTGGTGTTATGTCCGAATGCATCTTTCATTATCCTCTAAAATAGTTCTTCCCAGTTACTTGGAAAAACAAACAAACAGAAAAACCTCATAATATGTTAGTTGCCAGTGGTGCAGTAGCAACAGATGTGCTTACATTTCCTATGTTCCTTGAACTGTCAGCCAAAAAGTCATCTGAGAGTGTTTGCACCCAAAGCATGCTAAAATCAATTTTTAGTACATAATTTGACTGCACAGCTTATTGGAAATGCTCATGGGTGATAAACTGTGGTTGTCTTCGGCACTTTTCTGAATTTGGCCCTGTAACAGCTACCTGCAATATAAATCCCAAAGAAGAAAAGGATTTCAGCCTGGAGGTGAATTGTGATTTCCTGAGCAAGGAGACTTAACAGAAAAAGAGTGAAATTAAGGAAGGGTTAGAATAAGCGCTTTTTTTGTGATAGTGGTTACTCTGAGCAATACTCAGCTGTCTAAATTTAGGCATCAAATTTGATGCCAGCACTTGGAGCCTAGAGACCCTGAAGAGTTTTGGGGGGGACCCCAGGAGGGACAGCTGGAGCTCGAAGTTCCACTGACCATGTTTGGATCCTGAACTCCAAACCTTACATTATTAACATGAGGTTGCAGGTCACTTCTGGTTAGGCAGACCCCTCCTAACCTCCAATGCTGATTTTTGATCCAGCAAAGGTCTTAAGTGAGGCAGAGTGCACTCCTTTTCAGGGTATGTGTTAATGTCTGTACAGTTTTTTGATGAAATTTTAAAAAAACCCAACCTAACACAGCAAAAACCTACCACAAAATAAGAAAATAGGATTACATCTGGCATGGAGATGTTTCTTTTGCCATTGTGTTGATGCAAGTTTTCAGTTTTTAATTGTGCACAAATGGCAGAACTTATCTTCTGGGGTTTTTTTTCTAATGTAACCAATTTAAATCTAAGTGTGGTTTCTACCATATGCTTGTTTTAACCATATTTGCAGTTAAAAAAAAAAATATTTCCAAAACATAAGAGTTCAGGGAAAATACACTACTAACCATGAATCTGTGTAGCTACTAATTTTTGAGGGTGATGCTAGCAAAAGGAAAAGATTGATCTACATGGCTTGAAACAAAATGATACAGAGTTTACTTCAAGGAAAGAAAACTGCAGGACTCTTTTCTCATCAGTTTTGTCAAAGATGTATTGTGAGTAAGGCTGAGACATCCACGTGTGCTTAGAAGGTGCTGTGGTGCCATAATAGAAGGCACTCTGCAAATTTTTGAAAGACGAGGAGATACACCCTGAAGTGATTGACATTAAAAGCTGTCATCACAAGAAAAAAATTTAGTCTTGGGCATGTGTTTGAATTTTTGTTGTCTGTAAATTAGTGATGCAATGCAGCAAGATGAGGGTAACTAGTTTTTTTAACTGAGTTCCTAAGTTTAAAATAGAAAGTGCTGCTCTGGCAGAGAACAGTAGTGCTTGTAAATAATGTGTTTGTATGATCAACTTGGTATGCGGAAAGGAGTTTTCCTGTGTCTCATCATTCAGGGAAAAGATGAATTTTCTGTTTGAGCTTACACTGGTTGTTATAAATGTTCGGCACAAATGCAAGAGCGTGAGTAGAATAACGTGGAAACACAGCAAGACAAAGGGAAAGCAGTAAGGAAAAAGGCAACATTCTGCTTCCTGACAGAGGAAAACAGAGGACGGAATCTCTTAAGTAAATGTATAATTGTGTATAGTATGTCTGTAATAAATGGGTATCAGTGATGGTTTTTCATTACATTTTATCCATGCCTAAGGAAGATGGTGATGAGCAGGTTCAAAGTATCTGCATATAATGGACATGATCTGACTCCTGAGTCAGGTTGAGTCCTGGGCAATGGGATTTGGAGAGGTTTCCTCTTCCTGAGTGCCAGGGAACATCCTTGGCTGTCCAGAGCCTTGGCAGGGAGGGGCTGCAAAAGGAAAGGAGCCTGTGGGAGAAGCATGGGCTGGGAGACACCGAGTGGCGAGGAGGGTGTTATGCCAGGGTGCAGCCTGAGCCACAGAGGAGATGAGGGGACATGGGGGAGAGTTGGTTAGCTCCGGGAGCTGCTGAGAATTGCTGTCTCATGAAAGGGAGTAAGGGATTCTCCCCGGAAAGAATCAGAAAGAAGAGTATCACTTCTTCTCAAGTCTTTCATCTAATCTTCCTGCTTGCTATTTGTTTTCTTCTATTAGAGAGGGCATTTTGGTACAATTTACTTTTGCCTAATAAAAGGTTGTTTTCATGCTCCGGTGTCTTTGGTGTATGCATGTAAAACAATAAAGACCAGAGGGACTGTTCTACATAACTTTAGCTAAAGACTGCAGTTGACATGGTTCACAGAGATGTTACAATTTGTCATATCTCTGTACAAAAAATTATGTTATGTGTCAGCAAATATATTTTAAAATTTGATATTAGGACACCAGAAACACTTCAGTTGTACATGAAAAAAAAATTATCCGAAGGAATAAATATTTATCTTAAAGAAAGGAATGACTTAAAAATCCAACACTTTTTAGCTTAGGTTTTATATACCTTCTTAGCAGATATGCTTAGAGGGAAAAAAAAAATTCAACACCACGTGAAGAACAGGAATATTTCAGTGGAGAAATTTGGTTCCTTTTGACCTACTGACACCTTTGGAAAATAACACAAAATGGATGCATTTGGTCATCAGTCACTTTTTTCAGAATTTCCCTGTAAAAGCATGTGTAGCTTTTGATACCAAGATGAGGATCACTTGGAACAAAAAACAATGTTCACCTTTTTGAACATTCCCTCAATACCAGGACACAAATTCAAGTCTTACTTTTGCTTTTCTTAATGATTTCCTGCTTAGGCAGACATAGAAGGGATTACCTGCATATAAAACGTGCTGCTCACTATGAGGAAGGGTAACAAACAGCATTAGATTCTCTACTTGTTCCAGAGCATCAGGTGCTGGTATTTATTCCGGCTATAATTACAAAGTTGCCCTGAGAGTGACTGTGGTACAGGCATTCCAGCTTTGTTAGCATCTCTCTAATGAGGAAACTGTTGCATGTTCAAACTTCAGTTATAGATCTAGTAATTATGGCTGCCATCAGTCCCAGCCACTATAATTAATATTATAACTGACAGTTACAATCTTATTTTCACTCACTTGCAACATCTGAAAAATTATTTTCTTAGACCAAAGTTCTCTTCAATTTTTTTGTTTGCCTGTGGATAAATTCTTTTGGAAAGACTTGGGAGGAAAAAGTATTTTTTGGTTTAATTTCATTTTGGATGGTGTGAGAAATTTCTTACTCATATTACTAAAGATGTTTTCCCTCTCACCCCACCTGAAAGTTTTGCAAGGAGCGTCGCATAGTGTATTCTGCTAACTGGATGCCTGTGTTGCTAGAAGCTGCTTACTGGTCTTTGAGGTTATTTCCAGGCAGCATGTGAATAGACATGAATAGTTGGTGAATCTGATCGGAGATGCCTGCAAGAGGAAGCTGTTTAGTCTACAGCTTCTCTGAAACAACTGCAACTGCCTACGTCTGTTCCCTGGGAATCCTGGTAGTCAGTAGTGGGTGGCAGATCTGCTGTGAATAAAGTCTCTTCCCCCTCTTCTTATATTCTTATTTAGGCTGTCTCTGCAGAGCCAGCCCGAGGCGAGTTAGATACTAAATTAAGTTACTGTAGGGAGTTACCCATTTACCCTTTAGCTACCTCTGTACCCCAAATCCTGTGCCTGATCTGTCATTTACGTGCCTCAGGTTGGGACAACACAGAAGTGGTGGTCATGGACTGTTGCATCTTGTGATCTTATGGAAATAAGATTTATGACTGTATACATATGGTCGTGCCATCATATTCAGAGCGACCTTACACGGGGGTTAAATGTGGGTTCTTATGATTGGTGTGGGAGGCACAAGCAGTTCCTCAGATGGCTTTTGGATGCATACCAGGAGAAAGTAAGGAACAGTTGAAATTGAGATTGTGAGATCCCTGTTTGGTGGGTTAATGCGGAACAGCACAGTGAGAGCTGTCCTTAGCGTGGAGTGAAAGGCTTTATATCATGTCTTCGTTTAGTTTAGTAGTCGCTACCAGTTGTAGGAACTAACAATAGCAGTCCGATTCTTTCTGTGTTCACAGTTATTCGTTAGACCAAGCATGTGATTGCCCTGTCAGAACTCGATGGAACATGTGGTCACAGATACATGCAACTACTTGTTTATTTTTCTGAGAAGGTGTCTTTTTCTCCTGTTTGTGAGCAGTTTTCATTTAATTTAGCAGCTCATGGATGAAAGTCTGTATAACAGAGCTTAAAATGTTCTTGTTAACTTAGTAAATAACAAACGGCACAACCCCATCTTATATTTAACCGTTGTGCACATCTCTTAGTTAAACCACATGAAGCTTTACCTTGTGTTCCTGTAGCACCCTTGAACCGTTGCTCTTTATTTTGTCTCTTAGGCACACCGCTTCTAGTGCGAAGGAGCAGTGATCCAGCTTTGGGCCCACCTGCTGACTTCCACCCAAGTGCTTCTCATCCCAGTGACCACAGTCTCAAGCACGTTGTGGCAGTAGGTGTCATGTAACTCACCTTTTTCTTAAGGGCAAAAACTGTTCTCACCTGTTGGTCTATAGCAGTTTTATAAACTATAAACATATTTGAATCTAAGACAAAGTGCCTCATACTCATTTTCTGTAAAGGAGAGAATTTCTTCTGGATTAGATGGTTATTTTAGATTATACAGTCAATTAACTGTGGCTCTATTTTTAAAAAATAAGATATTTCCATAAAGCTCAGTGGTGATGTAAGGCACTGGAATATGAACTGAACTTTTAGCAATTATTTATTTGTTCAGTATCATATTGTCCAGTTTACCATTGCTTACTGGAAATAAATATACTTTCCTTTTAATATGCTTTATTGGTCTTGCACCCTTTTCACTTTCCTTGTTTTCTCATGACATTTCTGTCTTCCTTTGGCACCCTGCTATTATCCTGCAGGATCTTTCTTTCACCTTTCTGTTTTGCAACCTGATTCTTCCCTTTTGAAGATAAATTTGTTTTCAGCATAGTTATTTCTAAATATTGGTGCAAGGACACGTTTAGTGAGGATGCCATAACTCTTATTAGATCTTATTGCAGGCCATCTTCAGTCTTTTAAAAGTGATACTGTCTTGGTCACACTCGGGCCACAGTTTTTGCTTCACAGTTTTAAGGCCTGAAGCTTTCTGTTTGTGTGAGGGGAAGACATTCCTATATTCCTATAAAAAGATGAATGTCAGCTGAGATACAGAAGTGTATCAAAGCTTTTTCTTAGACTTGATGTTTGCCTAGAAAGCTCAGGTGGATCTGCTTCTGCACTACTTTATGCCAAATGAATGCTGGCTTAAATGATAGGGCAGTTGCACCTACTTTTATTTGCCTGTGAAATTTATGGCTTTCCCCTTTAGCTTCCCTAGAAGTGTTGCAATTCACTCCCTGTCCCCAGTCGTGTAAGCCAATCTATCGCTGTTTTGTTTCAAAACAAAAACCACTCAGAAACCCCCAACCTTTTCGTTTGATGTGAGGGGGATGTTTCAGCCTAGATCACAACTAGGCTGATTCCACAAATGCCCGTTTTCGCACAGTAGGGAGCAGGAGGAAAGAACTGGGATTTGTTCTACAACACATGCTGGAGTTGGGAAGTGTTGGAACTCCACATGTTGGAGTTTTCAGCTGAAGATGTTGTATTTAAGACCATACTTTCAATTAAGTTCACATGAATAAAGTAAGTAAATAGCAAGTCAGATGGCTCGTGTATAAATTACGTTCTATGGGTCTCAATCTGTAATTCTGAAGGCCAGCACAGGATTTTAGTTGACTGTTCATTGTTTCTCTTTGCGTGGCCAAATGTATGTGCATCTAAATATTTCGTGTGCATCTTGTGTTATTTACTAACCGGTGCAATATTAAAAGTGCTAGTGACTCTCCAAGTACATTATGGTGTTATACGGGGCTGAACTTTGTGAAACTCCGGTGTCATTTGTCAGACCTGTTTGAGCTGAGAGGTTTTTCTTGATGTTTGCTGCAAGCACTTACATATTAATGAAATACTGACTTAGCCTGATAAATGAAAGTACAAAAAGAACTCTTGGCTAACATGCAGGTCTTACTCTCTTTGCAAAGTTGAGAAATGTGTACAGTGAGTATGTCAGTATGTAATGCTGACCTCTGGTATTTTATAACCATGAAAATTGAAAAAAAGAAGTGGAAAATTCGGTGAAATCTGTTGCATTCCAGGACATGTTTTGAATGCTTTATTTTGACCATCAAGGAGAGAAAGATAGGCTTTTGGTTTTTTAAAAAATATTGTATTAACGGTGTAAGTGCATCAGTACACAAGAATCCTCTAGGCCTAAAGGAATTTTGTGTGCCTAATATACAGAGCATCCCCTTGTCAGCTATAGGGATAACAGTCAGAGCTTGGATAGATAAAAACAGTGGAGAAGGCTCTCAGATTTTTTTAAATGTCATGTAAGGGGCAGGGGGAAAAGGCCCAGCAGGCTGAAAGTTTTTATTGTTAAAGTGAAAATCTGCTACAGCAAAATACGTTACACCAGCTCTTATTTTTGCAACGGTACCGTTTCTAAAACTCTCATTGTCAATCATACTGAAATATGCTTTGGTGTAACGGTTAAGCACAGAAAGCTTAAATAACGTAGTTTAAATTAGTTACGTATTGTTTTAAAACATGGGGAAGAATCAATATCTGACAAATGAAAAAGCATTTCAACTGAAACTTCACAAACAACTGAACACTGCCTTTTGAATATAGCTATGCTCTTTCATGCGTTAAAGCAGTATTTAGAGAAAATTCATTTGTTCTGTATATTGCTGCTGAAAATTTAAAAGTAATACTGCATTTCCTTTGACACAAACGTATTTTTCTCACATTAAACTGCTTCCTTGCCATCACGTGCAAGTTATAAAAACCAAATCTGTTGGTAAGCGAAACAATTTTCAGTTGCAAGTAGTAAAAATTAGGTCTCTGCATTTATGCCACACTTACCTTAGCAATCATTTTGTAATTGAAACCGACTTCCCTAATTACCTTAATTGTTTTGGCACTTCTGACATTTTGGTGTTTGGCACATGTAGAACTGACAGTTCAGTTCTATGTGGAAATATTCATAGTTAGACTTTATGCTGTCTGCTATGGTATGTACTGATACACCATTAGTTGATCAGATTTTTGAGAGGTGATTATCATACGAGTCTCTGAAGACAATCACTGATTGCACTAGGAGAGCGCAGGAAAGATGTACAATAAGTAATGCATAAAATAAACCAGCAAACATACAGCAACGTAAGAAAAGATCATTGCTGTCCAGTTCAGGTGATCTGGATGAACCATTTGAACTGTTTACAGTATTTATGGAATCCACACAGAGCATATATTCTGGTTTTTAGGTATTGTCCTGTTCATTCAAAGGAATTTTTTTTTTCATGCCATATGATGATTACCAAAATTATAAAAATCTTTCCTGAGTGACTAGGTAGTTTGAGAAGAATTTAAGCTATTCTTTCATATTTTCTCTGACACTTATTTTGTCTTAGCCCCAATTAACACAATACTTCTAGATCAATCAAAAACTGATGGTGAAGTCCAGCATCTGTTCTTTCAGACTGGAAGTCATTTAGCAGATGGTATGAAATTCGAGTTTCTTTTTTCATCCAAACTTCTCCTTCCTTATCGTGATAGATGCCACTGAAAAATTTAGAGATTATAATCAGGGAAAAATAGGGACAGCAAACATCTGAATTTGTTGTTGAAGAAAAGGTATTTGTTAGTGAATTTGTTAATTTATGAAGGCAGCTGTTTAGCTCTTCTGCCTAGTTACAGTCATAGAGCCCTGGCCAGACTCAGAACTGGGACCTTCTCTCCCTAGGTTTCCAGAGAGGACTTCAGGGAAGCATCATTAGTTTAATGCATTTCTCTGAAAAATTTTGTGGCCATAGCTTTGCTACTGCAGTAGCCACATGCTGGTTTTCGTCTGTGAAGGGCCTGGCTTCAGAAAGTGGAGTTAGCAGTGTAGTCTTCCGCTGGGGACCTCTCCTGGAGCGAGGCCATGCTGTGTGACTGAGAGGGTGGAGCCCTTGCTCAACACCCATCCCCAGCTTGCTGAGAGGAGCAGATGCAGTTTCAGGTTCTCTGAGCCACCTCGGAAGTTCCGAGGTGGATTCCTCATCCCAGGCTCCACTCTGATAAAGATGAGATGCAGCAAGGTAGGAAGTCTGAATTGCGAGGTTCCTTTGGTTTGTTTTGGAAGCAGAATACATTTTGCTGCTTTTGCTCAGTCCCATTCATCCAGGTAGTAGTTGCGAAGGTATATTTAAAGCATCCAAACTTTCCTTTCTGGGGCTTTTACTTCTGTTTATCTGTCTTTTTGCCCAGGGACAGACTTCCCTACAATCTTAAGACTTGATCTGTCATGAGTTTGAGATGGGGGATTGGAGTCCTATTTAAAGTTGATGGGAGTTTCGCATTAATTCTGCTGGGACTAAGGTTACACCCCCTCTTGGTAACTTGCTGATTATTATGGGGATGCTATGTTCTGCATGACTTTCTTTTCTCTTATAGTTGCATGTTTCCTGCATAAATGCTTAGGTTAACTTGGGAGTTAATCAATGGGAATGGATGATTAAATTGCATTTATCCATATTTAAAGGTACAATGAGATGCTGGATCAATTGAAGAGCTGCTCTGGTGGCTCAATACAGTTTCAATTTTTACCTAGATGTGACTTGAAATTGACTGTATTTTATGCATTGTGGACATATAATTTGCAGTTTTGGATAAGGTTCATATATAATCAGAACATTTTTATGTTTTGAGCCCTTGTTAAAAAGGGTCAAAACCTCCTCTGGTTCTTCTGGCCATTAATTGTGTTTGTAATGTATTAGCCTTCCTGATTAAGTGTCTGCAGATTAGCATAATGTGAGCATATGTAAGGATGCAGCTCCACGATTTGTTACTTTTACATACTATTTTACGTACATATGTAAACATAAAGATATGCTACAATCAGAGCTTGGCTTTGAGACAAAGATTATGAGTAGAACTTTCAAAAATGTGTGGGTATTTTATGATAAGAAAAAGGCAGAAATATTGCTTCATCTAATCAGGCAATTTAAAACCTGGGCAGGGCAGAAATGGTCTTTTTTGACACACTGATGGAATAATGCTGTAGAGTCTATAACTTGGCTTGATCCAGCAGGTTTCTGCTAGGTCTCAAGCTAAGAGACTGCACTGCCATGAGGGTTGTATTGTCTGTCTGAATTTAGAAGGTAAAACTTTTGTCCAGTTTACTCACCCAGACTAGGTCGGGTAGTTTTAATTTCTGGTCCCTTTGCATGTGTTAGAATTTCAGTATGAAATTATCCCTTAGTTATGTGATAGAATCATAGACTAGGTTGGGTTGGAAGGGACCTTTAAAGGTCATCTAGTTCAACCTCCTGCAGTGAGCAAGGACATCTTCAGCTACATCAGGTTGCTCAGAGCCTCGCCCAAACCGACCTTTAATGTTTCCAG